AAGGAACTTTTAGCATGTAACCTTTTTATTTGCAAGTTTGAGCGGTTTCAGGCCAGTGCCCCCCGAAGAACTATTGGGACAGGTGGTGTTCTTTGATAAGGAAGTATCTTTTCTTGGCTGCCTCTGCCCTCCAGCGGCCTGACACTTTGAGAAGACTTTGACATAGGAGAAAAGAAATAAAGCGTCTGCTGGGCCATGGTCGCTCATACTTGTAACTCTAGCTACTCAGGAGGCTGAGATCTGAGAATCACAGTTCAAAGTCAGCCCATTAGAAAAGTCCATGAGACTCTTATCTCCAAGAAACCACCAGAAAAGCGGAGTGGTGTTGTGGCTCAAGTGGTAGAGCACTCAGCTTGAGCTGAAGAGCTCCAGAACAGTGCCCAGGCCCAGAGTTCAAGCCCCATGACCAATAAAAATAAATAAATAAGAAAAAAAGTCCAAGAAAGAAAGGAATTTGTTTTAAAAACATTTTATTTAGCTAAATGTGACTACATGCAAGAAAACAAAGTACTTTGAAAACCAAAAAAGTGATTTATTAAAGAGACATAGAAAAAAAGAGAAGGAGGGAAGGAAGAATGGATAGAAGAAATTAAGGAAGCAAGCAAGGAAGGAAGGAATTAAGGAAGGAAAGAAGAAGGAAGACCTTTTTTTTTTTTTTTTTTTTTTTAGCAAGGACTCAAAGAAAGTGCTTAAGAAAACCAAAGAAAAAAGAAACTCCTTTGTTCAGAAATCACTTTAACTTATAAGGAAAGAAAATTGTCTCCTCTAAATAGTGTGTCCAAATATTAACACTCTGCTTGTGACTGTGGTCTTACTTGGGAAAAAGAAAAAGAAAGAAATGGTCTTTCCAAATTAATTATAAAACCCTCCTGGAGTAGTTATGTCAAAGAAAAACTGTATTAGGTAACGTAGAGGCAAATAAAGTTTTACTCCTAACCATTCAATAGGAAAGAGAGATAGAAGACTTGGAGCTGAAGGCTGGAGAGTATTTTAGGTGCTGTGGAGAACAAGTGGGTATGAGTTGGTGGACAGTAGAGTCCAGTCACCACTGTGATAAGGTCCTTGCAGTGTTTGTTAATTGTTCTTTGTTTAAGTTAGACTTCTTTACTTCCCACTGAGAGGGAAATGGAGGGTATCTTCCTTGATAATTATCCTTCAGAGGAAAGTCTGCAGGAATTTGAGAAGAGACATGCTTGGGTTGTAAAGCCAGGGAGAAACACAGGGAAGATTTACATTAAAAGGTTGGAAAGAGGAATTACAATTGAAAGTTTCTAAAGTGAATATTCTAAAAAAAAAGAGGTCAGCTCATCAAGAAATATACTCATTACCTAATTGATGTAATTGTAACCCCTCTGTACAGCATCTTTACAAGAAAATACAATTTTTTTAAGAAAAAGAGAGAGGTCAGGTCTATTGTTGAAACTGTAACTGTCTAAAGCTAAGTCAAACTGAGGTAAAGGTCAAGGCCATTTTAGTCATGTGACTTTAAATCCAGTGTTCTTATAAGACTTGCCCATAGGAAGGTGGCTCAATGGTAGAGTGCTTGCTTTGCATGCATGAGGACCTGGGTTTGATTCTTCAGCAACACATAAGCAGAAAAAGCCAGAAGTGGTGCTGTGGCTCAAGTGGTAGAGTGCTCTCCTTGAGCTGAAGAGCTGAGGGACAGTGCCAAGGCCCAGAGTTCAGGCCCCACAACCAACAAAAAAAAAAAACCCAAAAAACAAAAAACAAAAAAAGAGTTGCCCATAAAGAACACAAAAGACAAGTAGAGACACAGAAGAAAAAGATATAGACAGGAAAAAGAGATAAGAATAATGTCAAGGATGAAGGAGAGAGAATGTAATCAAAACCCAGGAATATATTATTTTTCCAGAAAAGCCTCTTTGCACCTCCCAGTTTAAAATGTATCTATTTAGGTCTCCTCACAAGCATCTTACCCTTCATTTCCTTTTTCTGTGATTGATGCTAGCCAAGACTTCTGGCTTTCTCCTCTTAATTCTGTTGATAATGATAACCATGAGGATATTACAGATGGAATTTGTTTAGTGATTAGTTTATGCATTATCTCTCTTTAATCCTTGCTAAAACAAAATAAGGAAGATACTTTTATAGCAAGATTGAAGTAACACAAGTTAGTTGTCTTGCCTGAGGAAAGCCCATACACTTAACCATTTTGCTTTTTTAAAACTCTTAAAAAATTGTTATTCTAAAGGTGATATATAGAGGGGTGACAGTTACATAAGTCAGCTATGAGCATATTCTTCTTGGACAATGCCACTTCTTCCCCTCTCTCTCCCAGTTTTTCCCTCTGTCCCCACCTGCAAGTACAGCTCATTTTCAACAGTGTCTAGTGAGTATCACTGCTGCATTTGTTCATCCTTTGTCCCTCCATTTCTGTGCCCCACCCCTTACTCTCCAAAAGACAGATAAATGAACAAACAAGGTAAAAAGGAAATAAAACAACAACAAAGAAAAACTTCTTGTTTCTATTTCCTGGAGAAGTTTGCTATTTTTTTCTGTCTATATCATAGAGTGTTCACCTCTCCCCTGTTCCATACCGCCTTGCATTATCAATGTATTTTTCTATTCTGGTGCAAATGATTCCACAGAGATAGCTAGTAATCCCAGATGCATAAAGTAATCAATCGTGTTTCCTTTTTAAAGGTCTTTTAATATTAGGTTATCTACATTCTAAAAATTTAAGCACAGTATTATTTGAATATTTTTACCATTTAACTATTTGTAAAATTCTACATTTACCCTTTCACAGCATTTATCTGAATTCTTTGAACATTAGGAGTGCCCAGATTTCACAGGATGAATATAATTAATCAGCGAGCCAGTTGCTGCATGGCCTCAGGTTTCTCATCTTTCTTGGGGTCATAGTTTTCTTTAATGTTTTAATTGAGAGACCCTCTCTGTATGCAGTGTGAAGCTCCATGCTTTGCTTCTGGCCATATTTCTCAGCATTGAACTCTTAACAGAGCCTGGTTTTCTCTGGTCTCTTGTCACTTCATTTGTTTTCCTTTGGCATCCTGCTGCTCCACTGTAGCTAGTCTACCTGTAACTACTCTGCCAACACACAGCTGTATGCGATGGAGTCATATGATGGCTTGGAAATTAAAGTATGCCAAAACAGAGATACTTATACTCATGTAACAATCCACTATTCAACAAACTAACTAACATTCACTGAGTGTCCAGTGGCACTGTGCTGGGCTCTAATGATAAATAAACAAATAGAAGCTTGATTATAAACTCCTATTCCAGTAAGAAAGTCGTAAGCTTCACTAGGCACTTGACAAATGAGAGCAGAGGTAAGTTTACTGACATTTAATGAAGTCTTACGATTGATTGGGAACTCTGGTTGTGGACCTGAACTGAATAGGGTGAATAGACATAAAACAGCCCTTCAGTGTAGACAGAGGAAAGGGGGAGAATTAGAATAGGTTTTCATCATATAGAAACAAGCAATAGTAATGTGAAACAGGTCGTTGCAGGAACTAGGAGAAAGTCTGTGTGCTAGTGATCTATAGAGCCATAAATAAATAAATAAGGATAAGTCTGGAAAAAAAAAACCCTAGTAAACTCCTTTGACAGGCAAGCACTAGTGGTGGCTCATGCCTAGAATCCTAGCTACTCAAGAGGCTGAGATATAAGATAGAAATTGAAAGCCAGCTTAGACAAGAAAGTCAATAAGACTCATCTTCAATTAAGCAATAAAAAAGCCACAAGTGGAGTTGTAGTTCAAGTGGTACAATGCTAGCCTTCAGCAAAAAAACTCAGAGACAGCACCCTTGCCCTGAATTCAAGCCCCAGGATCAGTAAGCACGTGTGCACACGCATACACACTGCTTTACAAATATACATACTTCATGCTTTCTTACAAATCCTATCTTAATTTTGAAGTTAATGGAAGCTATTGGAAAGTTTGATGTCAATGATTGAAATGCTATGTTTTGTGTTTTAGAAAAAAGGTCTAAATTAGATATATAAAAAAGAATAAAAGTGTGGCGCCGGTGCTCACACCTGTAATCCTTGCTACTCAGGAGGCTGAGATCTGAGGATCGTGGTTCAAAGCCAGCCCGGGCAAAAAAAAAAAGCCTTGAGACTCTTATCTCCAATAAACCGCCAGAAAGCCAGAAGTGTTGCTGTGGCTCAAGTGGTTGAGCGCTATCCTTGAGCTGAAGAGCTGAGGGATAGCACTTAGTCCTAGAGTTCAAGCCCCATGACCGACAAAAAATTAAAAAGAATAAAATATATAAAGATGGAAGGAATAGAGATTCCAAACAAGTGTATTTTAGCTTGGGTGAGAGATGATATTAAGACTAGGGAAGAGTTGGTGAAGATGAGGATGGACAGAAGAATTTGAAAAGAATTTACTGTAGCATAGAGAAAGAGGATAAGGATGCAGAGCTCCCTGGAACAGTGTAGGCAACAAGGTAAAAAGTAATCTGAAACATTTCAGACTAAAATACTGATGGGAATTTTTGGATGTGAAAATTTCTCAGTCTATCACTCCTTGAGCCCTTCCCCAAGACTTTCTCCTTTACTTCTTTCTTCTCACTCTCCAAAGCATCCTCAGGCAAATATTAAAATCACATTATGTGGTGTTTTTTTCTTTTCATCATGTCTTAGATCAAAGTTTTAGGCTATGGTTTCCATCCAAACTTCCAGGATTCTGAGCCAGGGGGACAGGAGATGTGTACTTTCATCTGCCCACAAGCAAAGCCAAGTCATGTTTCCTTAAGCCCTCTACAGCTTGGCAGTGCATTAACAGGCCAACTGTTTACAGCTTTCCTTGTACCCTCAATGTCTAAGTGTTCATAACCTGAGTTATACAAATTAAAATTCAACATAGCTATACTAAGTACTTAATATTAACCATGTATAATCAAAATATTTACTAGTTTTATAACTTAAAATCGGTCTGTTTTTTTTTCTAGGGAGGAAGAATACCTATCCCTAATGTTGGCTTTTTTTCTTTTCTTGTTTTGAAGGGAATATCGTGGGTTAGAACTTCCTTTGTTTCCATATCCAGATTATTTCGCCCGGGAGGATAAAGAGCTGGCAAAAATCATTGACCACCATGTAAGATGGATTGTCTTATAGTTTTGTTCTTTCAAGACACTTTTAGTATTATAGATATCGTTCCAAATTTAAAGTTACATGTTGTATGGAAAAATATAGTTATGGATTGGAAACATGGCTCAAATAGTAGAATGTTTGCCTAGTAAGTGAGAACTCCTAATCATATCTACACACACAAACTAAAAGTAGAATCATGATTGTTTTTTTCCAAACTTAATTAAGCCTCATGATGTTATTTGTATAAGACATGTAAGGTAAATACACCTCCATGTCTCCAGTGGGTTACAGAAAACAGTGTTCTATCATTTGTGAAATACTAGCTTAATTCTGTTTCTGAATTAGCACTCATTTCTTGTGACAAGAGGCTAATTATAATCAGTGAACACTGATTTTTTTGTTGTAGTTGTTGGTCAAGGGGCTTGAACTCTGAGCCTAGGCGTTGTCCCTGAGCTCTTCAGCGCAAGGCAAGCTGAAGTCACAATGCCACTTCTGGTTTTCTGGTGGTTAATTGGAGATAAGAATCTCATGGACTTCCTGCCAGGGATGATTTTGAACCACAATTCTCAGATCTCAGCCTCCTGAGTAGCTAGGATTACAGGCATGAGCCACTGGCACCCGGCTGATTTTTTTTTCTTCTGCAGTGCAGTTCTAAATAATGTAACAAAAATTTTTCAACTCATTTTTCAGTGACTGTGCTTTTCCCTTGACAAAGCAGAATGATTTTTAATCACTTTGATCCGGTATGACATCAAGTAATGGCAATGTAAGACTATTCACATAAGAACTTTAATCCGTTGAGTGCATTTAGTTGATAACTTTTTACTTAACTCTACAATTTTTTTTTTTGGGGTCCGGTCGTGGGGCCTGAACTCTGGGCCTGGGCACTGTCCCTCAGCTCTTCAGCTCAAGGCTAGCACTCTACCACTTAAGCCACAGCGCCACTTCCGGCTTCTTTCTTTTTGCTTATGTGGTGCTGAGGAATCGAACCCAGGGCCTCGAGCATGCAAGGCAAGCGCTGTACCACTGAGCCACCTTCCCAGCCCCTTAACTCTACAATTTTTAACTGTAGTAGTTGAGTAGAAAAGTGAGGCCTTATTTTTTGTGTTCTCTCTGAATGTCAGATAGACTCAGTAACATAAAATGTGTTTAAATTAATTTCATCACTAGTAGATCAATGCTATCTATCAGATTCTTATTTTATTACTTGATTCATTTAATATTAATATTATATGTAATGTCTTAAAAATAGGGTTTATTTATTTTGCTTTCCATGTTAAATAGTAATTTGTAACATAGTTAATATTTTAAGCCATAACTAGCTTATAGTAGCTGTAAGAATTTGGGGTCTTAATAATAACATAATCACAAAAATGAGATCTGTTCTATTGATCTCCTATTCACTGAAAAAGTTTTGATGTTTTTGTTGGTCGGTCATGGGGCTTGAACTCTGGGCCTGGGCACTGTCCCTCAGCTCTTCAGCTCAAGGCTAGCACTCTACCACTTGAGCTACAGCACCACTTCTGGTTTTCTGAGTGGTTTATTGGAGATAAGAGTCTCACAGTCTTTTCTGCCCGGGCTGGCTTTGAACCTCGATTCTCAGATCTCAGCCTCCTGAGTAGCTAGGATTATAGGCGTGAGCCACGGGCACCCAGCCTGAAAACGTTTTTGCTAGACCTATTTCTACTGTATGCAGGAAGGATATTCTCAAAAATTTCTAATTTTCCTATTCACTTCAGTTTAATGATATAGAGTAGGCTGTAAAAGATAACAGCTTGTCAAATATTTTATAAATATATAATATAGATACACAATGCATGTTTGCATAATTATATTATCATTTATTATATATTTGCTTATAGATATAAAGAGGTAGACATACAGACAGATGGATAGAAAGATAGAAGAAATAAATATATTATTTATCTAAATCTCAAGCAACTTTCTGCTATTTAGGGATATTAAGAAGACAAAGGAAAACATTTTGAATGATAGAGAGAAGTTTAGAAATAGCTTCTAACAGCTGTCATCTTTTTGCTCTCAAGGCAATGATCATTATTGAAATTGCTTATATTGCACCTAAAGAAGGGTAAAGGATTCCTGTTTGGAATATGCTTGAGAACTTTTAACATACAAATTGTTTGATATATAGCCTATAAAAGTTAATAATTGTTGTTTTATTTGAGAAAAATAATGGTAGTCTCTCTGAATATTATATTGTTACCAGATATTCTTATATTAGTTAATTTAATTCTTGAATAGCCCTGACAAACATTTTGCCAATAATAAGAAAAAAATACTTATAATTCAATTACTTGCACAACTCTAAGGTTAGTAAATTACTGAGTCTCTGTACCGAAACAGATCTCTGGACTTTAACTCTACTTTGCTTTCCCCTTTCTATAGCTGCTTAAGCCTGTAGTTTGTAGTCACTAACCAGAATTCGGGACCAGAGTATGGGATCTGTAATATTGAGAAGAAACCAAAACACATCTTGGCAGCTACAGATATAATTCTTCTTCTAAGTGACTTTTGTTAAGTGTCTGTAATAGGCAAGGTGAACAAAGATACCATATCATTTAGCAAATATTAAGGTGTCTTTTATATTGTGGTATGCTATGGCACCATTATTGAGTCACTGAGTGAATGACTGAATAATGTAGTGAATGTTCTTCTATTTCCCATCAACATCAGTCATTAACTGAATACACTTAATTGTACCTAAGAGGATAATGGTGGCAGGCAAAGATAAGATAACATAAAGATTTGACCAAATTGAGCTAGTTAGGGTCAGTCCAGATAAAAGGAAAGATGATTTTCTTAGGAAACTAGTGGACTAATGCTGTATTTGTGGTTTTTTTCAGCCATACCAAGTTCTAAGGATGGGGAGAAAGGATAGTAGTAATATGAACCATTTTTGGTTAATCTCATGCATTAATACATGCTGTTTCAGAAACAAAAACATTCTAATTTAGTGACAGTTTATAAGACCTAATTCTCTGTTGACTTTTCCCAATGCAAAACAGTTGAGCATGAGTTTTTCACATGAGAAAAAATTGCGTGTCACTCTTGAATACCATAAAACATGTAGACTAAACCAAAACATTAATTTCAGCCTATGCCTAAATGTTTTGTCTCAACTATACATATAATTCATGCAAAATTGCTTTCTGAGAGCTCAAATGTAAGTAGTAACTGTAAGTAGTTACAATCTTAAGAAATGTGCTAATGGGGAAGTGGCGCTGTGGCTCAAGTGGTAGAGCACTCACCTTGAGCTGAAGAGCATAGGGACAGCACCCAAGCCCAGAGTTCAAGCCCCATGACTGACAAAAAAAAAGTGCTAATTAATTATATTTCTTATGTCACTAAAACTTAATTGAATAATATAAACATATATAATGTTTTAATCTTAATATACACTCCTGAGTACTTTGATCTTTTTGCACATTGTATTGCATACAGCCAGAATGAATGATGTACTATGGATTGTAAGATCTAGTCCTGCTTATGATTTTCAATACATCTCAGATGACAAATAATAGTCATGATTCATGGCACTGGTGCATGTGGTTAGTTAGTTGATATATGTTGATTTCCTCAGCCTCTCACTGTTTGTGTATATGCATGAGCTGAGGGTTATAAAACAAATAACAACCAGGTGCTGAAGGTGGCCCATGCCTAGCTACTCAGGAGGCTGAGATCTGAGGACTGTAGTTTGTAGCCAGGCCAGGCAAAAAAGCCCCAGTGAGACTCTTATCTCCAATCAATCACTCAAAAACCAGAAGTGGAGCTGTGGCTTGAAGTGGTAGAGTGCCAGTCTTGAGCCAAAAAGAGCTCAAGGACAACTTCTAGGCCCTGCCTTCAAGCCCCACAACCAACAAAAACAGGAACAACAAGAACAAATAGCAGTGTAGTGAGCACTGGTGGCTCATGCTTGTAATCCTAGCTCCTCAGGAGGCTGAGATTACAATTTTAAGCTAGCCCAGGCCAGGGAGTCCAAGGGAAATAGCCAGAAGTGGAGCTGTGGTTCAAGGGGTGGAGCACTTGCCTTGAGCTAAAACGCTCAGAGACAGTATCCAGGTCCTGAGTTCAAGCCCTAGGATTGGTATGCACACACCCACACCAACTCCCCCTCCCCCAAATAGAAGTGTAGACACTATTTCCAATATTTTATTCAAGGAGATATTTTTTTTCCCTGAGCATTTTACTCAGCTTGAAGATGGTTTATCATTCTATCTAACTTCATCAAATGAATTAGAAGAGAAATAGTTCCTCATTATGATACTTGGTTCAGTTGTTATAATTACGTTTAACATCTCATTTATTCATTCATTATGTCACATATACTGCTATTGTCATGGATTATTGTTAGCTTAGATGAATCTATTAGAAATGCTCTTTTTGCTGGTTGGCTGCCATGGAAATTCTTACTTCACCCTTGTCTCATTCTCAACCTCAAATGATATGCTAGCATAGGTTTTGCCTTTCACTTTGCATTTTCTGCATTTTGGTTGGGGTTTTTGTTTTTGTTTTTGTTTTTAGCTTGAGTCTTCTTTTCTTTTTCTTTTTTGCTGGTCCTGGGACTTGAACTCAGGGCATGAGCTCTGTCCCTAGGCTTTTTTGCTCAAGGCTAGTGGTCTACCACTTGAGCCACAGGATCACTTCTGGCTTTTTCTGAGTAGTTTATTGGAGATAAGAGTCTCATGGACTTTTCTGCCTAGGCTGACTTCTAACCACAATCCCTTATCTTATCTGATCTTTTCTGCTTGTCTCAGACATATGCTAGTTATTGCAAATAAGGGAAACTATGGGACCTATGTTTCTTTGGGTCTGGCTTACTTCACTACCATAGCTAAGATATGGAACCAGCCCAGATGCCCCTCAGTAGATGAATGGATTAAGAAAATATGGTATATACACACAATGGAATTCTATGCCTCCATCAGAAAGAATGACATTGCCCCATTTGTTAGGAAATGGAAAGACTTGGAAAAATTATATGAAGTAAACTTATATTAAGTAAAATATTCTCTTTTAACAGTGGCAGGAAGAGATGGCGATTCGAATGGAGGAAGAAGCAATATTGGAAGCCAAAGAATTGAGTGAGAAAGAGTTAGAAGAAGAAACACGCTTTCAAGAAATTATGAAGAAAAGAGAAGAGAAATTGCATAAACAAACCAAACCATATGAGCTTCCTTCAAAGACAGCAGTAATTTCATTAGAACAAAAAAATCTCTCCAAATAAATAGAAAGCCATCTGCCAGAAATTAATACCAAAAGCCCCCCAACAAACAAACATAGAGATAGCTTCATGTTATGAAGACTTTTTTGCAATAAATTAAAGACCATATTTAGGGGAAAGAATTGTATTCTGGTGGTGTAAGCTGCTTCATAGTTTTGTCTTAGTTCTACAAAGTTATATCTTAGTTCTACATCATTCACTTACATTATTAATCACATTTGAGAAAAATTATTTCACCAGTTAAAATTTCTTGCATATCTACTTCTGATAATACAGAATTCCTGTTCAATCATCTTCACTGTTGATATTCCCTGCACTGAAAAATAAAAAAGAATTGAAAATTAGTCACTATGTCAGAATTACTTCTTAGCCAGGCACTGGTGGTTCACATCTGCAATCCTAGCTACTAATATCTGAAGACTGCAGTTCAAAGCCAGTTTGTGAAGGAAAGTCCATGAAACACTTATTTCCAATTAACCACCAAAAAAGCCAGAAATAGAGCTATGGCTCAATTGGTAGAGAGCACTAGCATTGAGCAAAAACAGCTCAAGGACAGCACTGAGGCTCTCAGTTTAAGCCCAAGGAGCAGCATAAACAAAAGCAAATACTTACTGAAAATATAATGAGCATTGGCTTATACACTGTTATTCATAAAAGAAGTTATGGCATTTTTTGGATTTGCATTTTATGGTCCATCTAAACCAGTCCTCTGAGATTGGCATAATCTTTTTTTTAATGTGTTAGTAGCATGTGGAACCAAGTAGTCTTTATATTAGTAATGAACAAATGCCATGAAAAATAAGGTTTAACACGATGCTAATTTAAACAAACATCAACCCTCGAATCTCTAGTAATCAGTGGGTTTGGGGAAGAGGAAAGGAAAGGTTTGTCTCTCTGTGGATTTGTTTTCTATCATTTTGCAAAGTGCAGTTAATGCCTATTTATAATAGACATAAATAGATAAATGCCTATTTATAAATGGACATAGTAGACACTGTTAGCCCAGAAGCCTCCTCCCTCCCAGCTTAACATGCTCTTTCCCTAGGCAACACTAGGCCCATGTAGTAAAGGCAGTAAATGATTAGCCTCTACCCCCTTTCCCTGAGAGAGCACCCTGTTGGGATAGCTATGACCATATAAGGCAGCGAGATCCCTCAAATCCTGGAGATTAGAAAGGTCACCTGAGACAACAGCTAGCACTTCTTCTCACTTCCTCTCACCTGCAGGGCCCCTTACTGGAAATAAACCTTTCCTTTGTCCTTCCGACCCTTAAGCTGGATGGTTTTCTGGCTGGGTCTAATTTAGGCTAACAGACACACTTCACAATTAAGCTTTACTTTAACAGTATAATCATAGGCTTTTTTTTTTGGTTGTTATTGTTTTGAACTTTTGAAGTCAGTGCCTCGGCACTGTCCTTTGACCACTTGAGCCACAGCTCCACTTACGGCTTTTGGGAGATTAATTGGCAATAAGAATCTCACAAATTTCCCTTTTTGACCTGGCTGACTTTGCACCTTGATCCTTGGATCTTAGCTGCTTGAGTAGCTATGATTACAGGTGTGTGCCACCAGTGCCTGGCAAGTGTAGTCTTTAATAAAGCTATATAGGGGCTGGGAAGGTGCTCAGTGGTAGAGTGCTTGCCTTGCCTTCATGAAGCCCTGGGTTAATTCCTCAGCAACACATAAGTAGAAAAAAGCCAAAAGTGGCATTTTGGCTCAAATGGTAGGGCGCTAGACTTGAGCTGAAGAGCTGAGGCACAGCACCCAGGCCCAGAGTTTAGGCCCCACAACCTTCCAAAAAATAAATAAGTAAATAAAGCAATAATTCCTCACAGGGGGAAATGGCCATTTGCAAAGCAATCAGTTTCATTAAAGAGAGGCCCACAAACTTGGGTCCACCAGCTAGGATAGGACACAAATACTATAGCTTCCCTATGATGAGCTACATGTAGCCACATGAGAATGCTCTGGAGAGTTCTTGGCAATGAAATTCTTAGGTTAAGCTAAGTGAAGTCCTGATGGCACACCCTCAGTTTTGCAGGTGGGGATAGTGTGCCAGGATTCTAGCATCAGGTTAAGGGACTGAATGAATAAGGGGTACAAAAGGCTCAGGTGTGGACAGGATCTGGAGATTCCTGTGGTATCTCATGAATGCCAGAGGAGTCCTCTGAATGACAGTAGCTTTTCTTTGCTAGGTGAGTTCATGAGAATAGATTTGGATGATCAGCACTAATTATGGGAGGCATTCATCCAATCAAGAGGTATTTTATAAATGACATTTCACTTAATCAGAAACGTTCAATTGATGAAAGTAATGGAATGGAGTTCCTGTGATGCCTTTACTCTTTTTCTAGAAAATACAGATAACATAGTTTTCAAATTCACACAGATGGCACGGTGATACTCAAAGACATAACTTTACCAAATATGTCCCATGATGACACAGGTCAGGAAAGGAGCAAATTAGTCAAGGAAGCAAGAGACTATATACCCCATCTTAACAAATTTCTTTCCAGGTGCCTATATTCTCAAATGGTTGCTCTGACTCTTCTAGTATTTCAAGACACTTTCAATTGGATTTTTAATAATATATACATATTTCTAAGCCTCAAAATATTGTGAACTAATTTTGAAAATCCTGTATTTTTCGATTAAGTTGGACACATAAACCACATTTTTCTATGTTTTTTAATTGTAAAAATGCTGTACAGAAGGGTCACAGTCACATGAGCAAGGTAATGAGTACATTTCCTATTGAGCATTGTTACCTCCTCCTACCATCCCTTCCCTCCCATCTCCACAACTATCCTTGCCCCCCCCCAAGGCTGTAAAGTTCATTTTCAACATAGTGTTTTGTACATCTCATTGTTGCAATGGGTCAAACTGTATGCTTATTTAAGCATTTTGTTTTTTCCCTTCTCTTCCCCGAATTAGAGAAGTGTACACAAAATGCAGGGCACCAACATCAAATACAGTAAAAACAAACAGGGGTTATACCGTGGCGGAGGAACATACAAAGAAACAAAATAATTCACATGGTACATTATAAATACGTTAGAAAAAATAGCAAGAAAGAAAAAAGATATTGTGTCCCTATCTTGGGGTTCATTTTTCTTAACATCATTTTTTGGGGGGTCCGGTCAAGGGGCCTGAACTCTGGGCCTGGGCTCTGTCCCTCAGCTCTTCAGCTCAAGGCTATCGCTCTACCACTTGAGCCACAGCGCCACTTCCGGCTTTTTTCTGCTTATGTGGTGTCGAAGACTGGAACCCAGGGCCTCATGAATACAAGGCAAGCACTCTACCACTGAGCCACCTTCCCAGTCCCTCTTAACATCATCTTATATGGTCATATGTACATAGCTTTTGGCTTTTTCTGCTTGTCCTACACATGTACTATATTGCAAATAAGGGAAACCATGGGACTATGTTTCTTTGGGCCTGGCTTACTTCACTTAATATAATTTTTTCCAAGTCTTTCCATTTCCTAGCAAATGGGGTAGTGTCATTCT